AACCCCTGATTTTTTGGGGCTCCGCCCCCTGGACCCCACGCGAAATAGTGACTTGCCAGTGTCACAAAATAATAAGGTATACACAAAAATATGCTCATCTGACCTTAATTAAACGCCTAAAACCCCTGAGCTTCCAGGGCCGGCTCCGCCGACTCGACCCCACCTCTTTGAAATTCAGACAAGGATTAAGAGTATAGAGAACGGTACAACGCATCGTTTTCTTTCTCTAATGATTTAATGAAATGTATAAGCTTCCGCGCTTCGCGCGGGAGGGGGGGGGGGAACTGAAATCAGACGAGGATAAAGGGTCGAGAACAGTACAACGAATCGTCTTCTTTATCTAATGATTTAATGAAACGTAAAAGCTTCAGCGCTTCGCGCGGGAGGGGGGGGGGGAACTGAATTCAGACGAGGATTAAGAGTCGAGAACGGTACAACGAATCGTCTTCTTTCTTTAATAGTTTAATAAAAGGTCAAAGCTTCCGCGCTTCGCGCAGGAGGGGGAGGGGAGGAACTGAATTTAGACAAGGATTAAGAGTCGAGAACTATACAACGAATCGTTTTCTTTCTCTAATGATTTAATGAAACGTAAAAGCTTCCGCGCTTCGCATGGGAGGGGGGGGGGGAACTGAAATCAGACGAGGATAAAGGGTCGAGAACGGTACAACGAATCGTCTTCTTTAATAGTTTAATAAAACGTCAAAGCTTCCGCGCTTCGCGCAGGAGGGGGAGGGGGGGGGGACTGAATTTAGACAAGGATTAAGAGTCGAGAACTGTACAGCGAATCGTCTTCTTTCTCTAATAATTTAATAAATCGTAACGTTTTCCGCGCTTCGCGCTGGAGGGGAAAAACTAAATTCAGACGAGAATTATTTTTGAGAACGGTACGAATCATCTTCTTTCTTTAATAGTTTAATAAAACGTCAAAGCTTCCGCGCTTCGCGCAGGAGGGGGAGGGGGGGCTGAATTTAGACAAGGATTAAGAGTCGAGAACTGTACAACGAATCGTCTTCTTTCTCTAATAATTTTATAAATCGTAAAAACCGTCAAAGCTTCCGCGCTTCGCGCAGGAGGGGGAGGAGAAAAACTAAATTCAGACGAGAATTATTTTCGAGAACGGTACAACGAATCGTCTTCTTTCTCTAATAATATAATGAAACGTCAAAGCCTGGGAGGGGGAAACTCGCCCCCCCCCCCCATTACGTCACTGTTGGTCACCATAACGTACCAATATTTGGCTCGCATAATTTCAAATTTGGGCCCCCCCCCCCCCTCAGAAATCCTGGATCCGCGCTTGATTTTGAAAATGGTACTGAAATGGCTTATCTAACCGTTTGTCTATACTTTACACATTTACTTACTTTCTTATTATTTGAAATGTGTTATATATGTATTTAAAAAAAAACTTGTAGGTATATATGGATTTCGGAAAGAAAAACAAACAAACAATAACTCTCGTTTCGAGAAACTTCCTTCGAGATTAATTTCTCACTTGAAAACAGCTACGAAATCAAATACGTATTCAAATTATTAAATAGGTATCCTTACATTTCATATTTTGTTAAATCAAATTGATTGGATGTTCTTTTGTTCTGAAAAATATTGTTAAAGAAAAAACAACATTTTTCCTACTTAAAAGTTGAGTTTCTAGCGATATTCATCATTCATGTCCTTTCTATATTATACAACATCTGAAATACTGAATGTAGATCTTGTTCGATTTAAACATAACTTGATTACATAGGATATCAATGAGTATTCATATATTTCGTATTACTAAAGAATATTCAATGTATTTCATTCGTGAACAGAAATACTGTTTTAATAACCCGCTCTTCCTGTCATCGAAGGGTTGTAACCTTCTGTAGATTCCAGAATGCTGTAAGCTATGTCAGAATGGTTTTCAATCGCACATCACTGTTTTATGACATTTTACACCGTTCTTTAGCATCACCTACAATGCATCCCATCCCAAAGCTGCTTAAGTGATTAACTTAGCAAGGTTCAAGATAAATCTGAAGATGATTTGATGACAATTATTTGATGACGTGGAACACATTTAGATACCTTTTGATACATTTTGTTACTTTTTGATACATTTTGAAGGATTACCACACAAAAGCTAAGCTTGAAGCCGGGGTAAAATCCTTTACTATAGAAATAACAACCTGCACCGACGTGAACGTAACTATTTTTCTTCATGGTCTTTTCCAGAGTTGAAAAAACTCGTTACAACTTAATCATGATAATGAACGAATCATATGATAATGCATCATCAACGTAATATATATACATTGTAATGATACCATGAGATAATCATCAAGAAGGATTACCACATAAAAGCTGAGCTTGAAGGCGGGGTAAAATCCTTTACTCCTTTACTATAGAAATAACAACCAGCACCGACGTGAACGTAACTCTATGTACAATTTTGAAATATATATCTTACAACTTTAAGCAGAAAAATGCGTAGATTTCCGGGGTTGGTCACCGCCCCCCCCCCCCCCCTGGATACACCCCTGCAGACATTATAGTCTTAAAAGTTGTCATGTCTGCTCTTGAGGAAGCCCAAAAATGTTTCCACTACCCCTCGGATACAACGAATAGGTATGAAATAAAGACAGTGAAAAGTATTTTCCAATATTTCTTACCAGTTTAGCTGAGGTTGTCCGTGTATTGCTGGAGATATCCAATTTTATAAATATTAGAATTGTCACAGACCGAATCGTCTCTGTCCGTTTCCGTAGACGGTCAAACCTAGAGTAATACCAGGGAGGTAATAAGTGACACCTCCCTGGTATTACTGTGATTGCAACGAGTGGACGACTTTCACGCATCATCGCTTGATAAAGTGTGGAATGTATACAAGTCTCGCGAATAGATGGCGTACTTTTGATGAAGAGATGGCGAGAGTTTACCTCTCCTCACATATGGTAGCTAAAAGAATCTGTTACACATGTGGTATATAATACATGATGAGTATGTGGTGTATTATATGATTATTATGTTATACAGAGTGAGTCAGAAATATGACCCACTTTTTATTGTTTGAAGTATGAATATTTAATCATGGGTTTCATGATATGTCTTGATAGAGTTATTCTCCCAGTACATTTAGGTACCATTTCCATTTGAATCTCTGCATGCATGACTGAACATCAGACAATCTTTACAAGACTGCCAGATCTCACTTGCGCCAAGTTACTGGGTCAGGAATAAAACAGTGCATTGAACAAAGACAGTCAGACAGATACACACACACACGCGCGCGCGCGCGCACGCACGCACACACGCACACATACACGCATACACACACGCAAACGCAACACACACGGTAACAATTGTTTCATAATTTCCCCTTTTCTGATTAAGCACTAATTTTTATCAAGATCCCTGAATGTTCAAGTGGCATTTCCCTGACAATCTTTCTCTTTAGTACACATTCATTACCACCATCATATCATCATCATCATCGTCATCATCTTAATCTTCATCATCATGATCCGTCATCATCAACATCATCATCATCATGAAGTGCACGTGAATCCAATGTGCTATCTCAATACGTAGGTACATTAACAATTAATGTGTGTAACATGTGCCTGTGCGTGTGTTTGTGGGTGCGTGTGTGTGTGTGTGTTTGTATGTCTGGCTGTCTTTGTTCACAACACTATTTTATTCCTCACCCAGCAACTTGGCGCAAGTGAGATCTGGCAGTCTTGTAAAGATTGTCTGATGTTCAGTCATGCATGCAGAGATTCAAATGAAAATGGTACCTAATGTTAACGAGTGGGACATTTTTTCTGACTCACTCTGTAGATATGAGGATGGTTTCACCTAGTGGGGAAACCCGGAAGTAATAACTTGCAATCAAACGAATGAAACCTGATTAGTTTTAATTACTTTGATGTAAATTTGTATACGCATAATATCATAAATTTAGAAATTAATTCTTCTGTTCTGAAATAAAACTCAACTTTGAGGCTCCTTAAGACATTTTCATTCTTAGTAAATCTGATTGGAGCCCAGAATTGTTTCCAAATAAAGCAATGGAGTGGTGTATATCCAACCATCGTGTATCGAGGTACAGGTGTAAGGGGAGCAGGGAAGGGGGCGGGGGCACCGGTCTCATTAGGTGGATTTAATGACAAGGATATTAGGAAAGAGAAGAATGTGGAAAGGAATTGTAGTACATTCATTTCATGTTAACACTCCCTTTTTCTCTCTCTCCCAATTTTTCTTTCTATTTTACATCATTTTATAGGGACACAAACTCGTTCTCTCTCTCTCTCTCCCTCTCTCTCTCACTTTTCTGTATATTTTATATCATTGTATAGGAGCATACAAACTCTGACCTTGGTATTTATACCAGAGCATAATTATGTCTATGATCGTATAAAATATAAAAAAGTGAAAATCTTGTGCCCTTTTTTTTTATATTCTATGAATGATAGTAATCGGTACAAATGTATTTAAGATCATTCGACCTTATCTCATGCATCACATATGTAATGGAAAGAATGGAAGGAAGTGAATTAAGGTTGTTATCAATTTGCAGGGTTGTGAAGACTGGCCGTAGTACAGTATGAATATTCATATATTCAAAAGAGATATTTGAATAGTCCTAGATTTCAATAGGAGTTTCACATAAGACAAAATATTTAAAAAACACAATATACAGCGTTCTCTCGGTTATGATCAATTTTAATTCAATTGCTGAATATTTTCAAATTGTATTTGATAAAAGTGCATGAGCACTGCATCATTGAAACTATCGTGTTTTTTTAATCTAACACTTTCAACCCTTAGTCTCCATACATACATACATACATACATATTGGTATTTATATAACGCCTTTACATGAACATGCTCAAGGCGCTTTACATTTTAAAATAAAAACAGAATAGTTATATACTCTCCAAGTGCATTACACTCTAATAAAAAAAAATTTTAAAAAAAAATATATAACAATTACAAAGAAAACAAATGAGTTTTTAAATTTCTATTAAATGATGCGACATTTCTTTTATTCGACAAAATATTCCACCACCGCACACCATACAAATACACCGCCCACACCCTCACATATATCACGCAATCACTCAAATGTAGGTGAAATATTATGAATATTACAAGAATGGATATCGCTGACATTTTATGATAATAATATAATTCATTAATCATTTGTAAAAACTAAAAAGATACACAATACTAGATTTAATCTAGTTTATCAAATGAGTGCAATCCGGAATGGGCAGATACTACATCACTCGTTTTTTTTTCACTAAAGAAAAAAGAGGAGTGCTGATTAATTTGTGCACAACATGAGAGATCGCATTCGAGTTTGACTGTCTATTGAACTAATAGTAGAGTATAGCATGAACAATTTTTCTCAAAGTTATAATTTTGGTGAGAATGAGAAAGTAACAAGAAAATACTGAAAATTGTCTGATGGAATTTTCTCAATCTAGTCAGGTATAACATATCGAGTGGTATTATCGGAATTCCTTTAACAGATTATGATATATTGATAGTTTATAGGCATATATAGCGTTTAAATCTGTACAGGCAAAAGGTGAAAAATAGTCCTCACATTTGAGTACGGAATTTGTTTATTGGCTTCACTTGTTTGCGATGATCATATCAATTGCAATCATATAATTGTTTGTACATGTACAGCATTAGACATTTCTACGGAGAAAATTCAAACTCAAAGAATTATAATAAGAACGAGGCTTCGATTTATATTTACCTTTGCTATATCTCATATCCGCCTTCTCTACATGTTATTGATGTACAGAGACCTCTACAAATATTGAGTGCATTTATCTGTGAATCATCGATGAGTTGACGACATGTTTCTTGAAATATTTGTACTGTATCAATAAAGTAAACATTCCCTGCAATGTTATGCATGACTAAATCAATGTTCGAAGTACATTTTATCTATAACAGGTATACATGCATGACGCAACTGTAAAACTATTTGATTTATAATCGATTTGCAGTTGCCATTTGTTACACAATGTGGCACTTCTACTAAGTTGGTATTACAATCTTAAGTATCAGTAGAAGTCGAAATCATTGCTCGGTAATTTAATTAATTAAGCATGACTATGTTGTTGGCGAGACGACTATTCATTGCTGCAATTTTGTCTTTGGGGAACTCTTCTGGACATTGACGCAAGTGCTGCTCAAGATGTTCCTGAATGATCTTTTCAGTCTCCAGTTTGCTGGTGTCCTCCGGGATAGTATCATCTAGCGTCATGGTGAAGATGAAGACAGCATCCTTGTACGGTGCTCCATCGTTATCACAGTAGCCATGGAATAATATGATCGAGCACGGTTGGAGTTCATCGAGATCTTTGATGATAACCACACTAGCACAGCCGTTCAACCCAGACTTTATCTTCGCGTCTATGTCTTTCTTCACCTGGTCTGCAGTACCGTCTTCGAAGTCATCACCGTCAACCCGCACGATGTCTCCACGCGATTTATGGTACACGTTGGAGTACATGTTTGCTACTTCTTCGGCGACGTCGTTAGCTTTGACATGATCTGGCTGACTAACCAGAAGTAAGACTACAGGTCTAACCAACTCTTCCTTGTCTTGGACGTGTGCCCATGATGCACCACCTATTGTTTCCAGTGATGGTTGATCTAATGATGGAAATTTCTTGCTTAAAGATTCAATCTCTTCGTAAAGAACATCCTCTCGTTCTGAACGCTTTCTCAAACAGTCACCCATGTCAGAATGAGCGGTTTCGTCCGGAGCTGGTGGTGGTGCTTTGGGAAAAATGATGAAACCAGCTATGAAAACTGAAATGGAGATCAAGACTACAATAGATCCATATTTCCAAATAGATCCATCTGATGATGGTGCTGGACCTTTACTTTCACCTTGGTCAGTTGCAGAATCACGAGGGGTATCCTTACTTGCCACTTTACGTCGGGTTAGCTCTGTACCTTCAGACACTTCAGCAGGTGTTGGTATTGTCTCTGTCCCTATTGCTTGGTCCGCTTCATCGGTACCTTCGCCTTCCTTTTGGAGTTCCTCAACTTGAGCTGACCCTTCTCTCTGTCTATCTTCGTCTATCTTTACTTTTTATGCCTCCGCCACCGAAGGTGGTGCCGGAGGCATCATGTTTTCGGGTTGTCCGTCCGTACGTCCGTCCGTCCGTCCGTACGTCCGTCCGTCCGTACGTCCGTCCGTCCGTCCGTCCGTCCGTCCGTCCGTCCCGTTTGACCGTTATCACAATATCTCAAGAACCATTTAAGATTTAAACTTAAGACTCGGGAATAGTATTTATCACCATAGGAAGACGATCTGATTAGATTTTGGAGTACGTAGGTCAAAGGTCACAGGTCACAGAGGTCAACTTATGAAATTCCTTGTATTGAGTTTGTTAGCGCGATATCTCAAGAACCATTTGAGATTTAAACTTCAAACTTAAGGATAGTATGTATCATCATAGGAAGACGATCTGATTAGATTTTGGAGCACGTATGTCAAAGGTCAAGGGTCACAGAGGTCAACTTATGAAATTCCATACATTGAGATTGTTATCATGATATCTCAAGAACCACTGGAGATTTAAACTTCAAACTTAGTGATAGTGTGTATCACTATAGGAAAACAATCTGATTACATTTTGGAGCACGTAGGTCAAAGGTCAAGGGTCATAGAGGTCAACTTATGAAATTCCATACATTGAGATTGTTATCATGATATCTCAAGAACCACTGGAGATGTAAAAACTTCAAACTTAAGGATAGTATGTATCACCATAGGAAGACGATCTGACTAGATTTTGGAGCACGTAGGTCAAAGGTCAAGGGTCACAGAGGTCAACTTATGAAATTCCATACATTGAGATTGTTATAATATCTCAAGAACCACTGGAGATTTAAACTTCAAACTTAATGATAGTGTGTATCACCATAGGAAGACAATCTGATTAGATTTTGGAGCACGTAGGTCAAAGGTCAAGGGTCACAGAGGTCAACTTATGAAATTCCATACATTGAGATTGTTATCATGATATCTCAAGAACCACTGGAGATTTAAACTCCAAACTTGTTTAAATTGCTCTATGGCGGAGGCATCATTTTCGACTGCGCGCAGTCAAAATTCCATCTAGTTTCGCTTTCATTTCTTCCTCTCTTCGCCTTTCCTCTTCCTCTATCTTCTTTTTCTCTCTTTGCTTTTCTTCTTCCTCTCTCTTCTTTTCCTCCTCTCTTTGCTTTTCTTCTTCAGCTCTCTTCTTTTCCTCCTCTCTTTGCTTTTTTTCTTCAGCTCTCTGTATTTCTTCCTCTCTTCGCCTTTCCTCTTCCTCTCTCTTCTTTTCCTCCTCTCTTTGCTTTTCTTCTTCTGCTCTCTTCATTTCTTCCTCTCTCAGTCTTTCTTCTTCTGCTCTCTTAATTTCTTCCTCTCTCTTCTTTTCCTCCTCTCTTTGCTTTTCTTCTTCCTCTCTCTTCGTTTCCTCCTCTCTTTGCTTTTCTTCTTCTACTCTCTTAATTTCTTCCTCTCTTTTCTTTTCTTCCTCTCTTTTCTTTTCTTCCTCTCTCCGCCTTCCCTCTTCCTCTCTCTTCATTTCTTCCTCTCTTTGCCTTTCTTCTTCGGCTCTCTTCCTTTCTTCCTCTCTCAGTCTTTCTTCTTCCACTCTCCTTTCCTCCTCTCTTTTTCTTTCTTCTGCTCTCCTTTTCTCTTCCATTTTATTCCGTTCTTCCTCTCTTTGCCTTTCTTCTTCTTCCACTCTCATTCTCTCTTGTTCTCCACCATCATCCTCCATCGCTCCTTTCACCTTCTTCTCTTCTTGGACTTCTGCTGTACCTCCATCTCCAGGACCATCTTTCTCCTCTTTCTCTCCCGATGCTTGAATGTTTGATGCCTGTGATATCCCATCCACGCTCATGCTTTCTGAAGTTGTACTCTCTTCAGGAGGAATATCCTTGGCATCAACAGCTACCCAATCATCATCTTTAGTATCAGTACTGGTAGAAAATTGTCCTCCTAATTCTTGAGGTTTTGTCACGCCCTCCTCACTCTGTGTTACTGCTGCATCAGTCACGTCAGACATCGCTCCTTTCACCTTCTCTTCTTGGACTTCTGCTGTACTTCCATCTCCAGGACCATCTTGCTCCTCTTCCTCTCCCGATGCTTGAATGTTTGATGCCTGTGATATCCCATCTACGCTCATGCTTTCTGAAGTTGTACTCTCTTCAGGAGTAACACCCTTGGCATCAACAGCTACAAAGTCTACAACTTTAGTATCCATACTGGTAGAAGATTGTCCTCCTAATTCTTTAGGTTCTGTCACGCCCTCCTCACTCTGTGTTACTGCTGCATCAGTCAAGTCAGACATCTTGAATCTGTATAGTCACGAGTACTGTAATGGAAAGATGAAAACATTGGACATAATTTTACTTCATGATTTAACTGATTTCTATCGTGGGAGATCGATATGACAGCTATAGAACTTATTTCAAAGAAGCAACGAGATGACTTATAAAGTTATAAGAGAGTGGGATGCCAAGGCCAAGGGGCCCAAGTCATGAATTAATGCCATTCAAGACAGAGTTGAATCGGCTAGTCAAGGACCTCTTGTAAGAACAGAGCGTCATGTAACGCCTGGCTGGAATGCTCCCCAGGGAGTGGAGATTGTGCACACATTGTGTGCGGGCAAGCACTGAATCCAATGACCGGAGTAATAGTATATTTGTAAAGCGCTTAGAGACATTTGTATTAAGCGCTTTATAAAAATTAAATATTATTATTATTATTATTTTAACAATTGCTCTGAATATAGAGTTCCAGCCGTTTTTAATTATTGATTTGTATTATATTTGTAAATTGTATTCTTGTATGTATTTTAATTTTTTTATACGGAAAATAAAACCAATTCTAATCGTGAACATATTTTCGATTTGTACAAGTGTATCACTTATTTCGAGAAACTTCCTTCGAGATTAATTTCTCACTTGAAAACAGAAAACATTTTATATTTTGTGAAATCGAATTGCTGGGTTATTCTTTTGGTGTGGAAGTATTGTAAAAAAAAAAAGAAACACAATTTGTCATTCTTAAAAGTTGAGTTTCTAGCGATATTCATCATTCATGTTCTTTCTATTATACATCTGAAATACTGAATGTAAATCTTGTCCGATTAGAACAAAATTTGATTACATAGGATATCAATGATTTATGATTATTCATATATTTTGTATTACTAAAGAATATTCAATGTATTTCATTCGTGAAGATAAATACTGTTTTAAGAACCCGCCCTTCCTGACATCAGAGGGTTGGAACCTCCTGTAGGTAACTATAGCAGCGTAGTTTTTAATCGCACATCTTTATTTTATGAAACAAGGACATTTTACACCGTTCTGTAGTTGTTTGCTCCATAACCTGCTGTCACAACACATCCCCCCCCCCCCCACAAAAAAGAGCTTAGTTTTCATGAATATGGGTTGGTTACCGCCCCCCCCCCCCCCCCCCCCTCTGGTATCCACCTGGATACACCACTGCAGACAATATAGTCTCAAAGGTTATTGTTCGTTGGGTGAAAGGTTATCGGGGAATACCCGATCCCTTCGCCCTAATCATGTCCGCTCTCAAAAAATTGTTTTTCACAAATACAACAAATATGTATGAAACAAAGACAGTGCAAAGTAATTTCCAATATTTCTTACCAGTTTTAGCTGACGTTATCCGTGTATTGCTGGAGATATCCAATTATATCAATATTAGAATTGTCACAGACAGAATTGTCTCTGTACCGTAGACGATCTAGCCGAGAGTAACACTGTGATTGCAACGAGTGGGCTTCCTGACGCGTCATCGCTTGCTAACGTGTGGAATTTATACAAGTCTCGCGAAATAGATGGCGTAGTTTTGATATAGAGAATAGGTGAAGAGAGTTCAGTCCGTCCGTACTTATCCTGACATATGGTAGCTAAGAGAATGTGTTACACATGTGGTACGATATACATCATGAGTATGTGGTATATTTTATGATTAGTATGTGGTGTACACTAGGATGGTTTCACCTAGTGAAGAGAAACCCGGAAGTAATAACTTGCATTCAAAAGAATAAAACCTGACCAGTGTTAATTATGTTGATTTTAACTATACACATAATATCATTTATTTATTTAATTATTTATTGTGCATGCATGTTCGCAATTTCACAATTCATTGGATTTTAACATTACATGAACAAAATATAATATAACAAATCATTTTAAATTTTACAATCCATTTTTTTTTTTTTTACTTCATATGAAAAAAAATATAGCCTAACAATGTTTTATCGAAGACAAGTTGCAACTATTATACACGAAAAGGTGATGAAACATAAGCATAGAGCTTGAATCAATATAACACCTTTTAAATATGTAATATATGACAAATAAAATTCCTAAAGGGTTGTGAGCTATATACACTATTTACAAAGAACAAGAAACAAATTGCTAAGTCTAGTAAAATGTCTTATAGATCATAAGATATAAATAAAATTTATATTCGATATAATGAGAACTGATAGATTTATATATATGTCAGTAATATCTTACATCTGTGAAGTTATATTGCATTTAAGTGCTCTTTTAAAAGAGTTAGGTGATTTTATATTTCGAATATTGTTAGGTAGAGAGATTCCATACATCTGGACCCTTATGGCTGGTCGATTTCTGGGCTCCAGACAAGTTTTTCATCGATATAGACACCAAGGAACTTTGAACATGTCTTTCTCTTTATGGAAAACATATATAAAATATCATAGGAATATAGAATATCAGTTTGATATTTAGAGTTAGGTTTTCATTAGATTTTCTACCTCTTAAATGAATATAATTTGTTTTAAGCATATTGAGAGAGAGCACGTTACTTCTAAATCATTAAGTAAACTTTGGCAGTTCCGAATTTAGTTTCTGTTCGAGGGTGTTGATGTCACGATGAGACAAGAAAACACTTGTATCATCTGAAAATAAAGTATCATTTAAAGTTTTAGATACATTAAAAATATCATTGATACTAATAAGAAATAGTAATGGGCCCAGGATGGATCCCTGCGGAACACCACATTTAAGATACAGAATTATAGATTTAGAATTTATTCATTATTCTGCTCTGAAATTAAACTCAACTTGAATGCTTATTAGACATTCTGAGTAAATTTGACTGGAGCCCAGAATTGTTTTTTTTTTTTTTAATAGCAACGGAGTAATGTAGATCCAACCATTGAGGATCGAGGCACAGGTGTAGGGGGGGGGGGGGCGAGGAAAGGGGCGAGGAAGGAGGAGGGGGCACCAGTCTTAGGGGGAACCCTTATTAGGTGGATGCTGTGAATAATGACAAGGATATTAAGAAAGAGAAGAGTGTGTGGAAAGGAATGGTATTCTACTCATTTAATATTGGCACTTCCTTTTTCTCTCTCTCTCTCTCTCTCTCTCCCAATTTTCATTTCTATTTTACATCATTTTATAGGGACACACACACACTTAGACCTTAGTAAATATACCACTGCAATTGTATGAAAATATTAAAAAAGTGAAAATCTTGTACACTTTCAATATAGTAATCTGTATTGTAGATCATTCAACTTCAGCTCATGCATCATATATGTTATAATAAGAATTGGTGGAAATGATTTAAAGGTTTTTAACTTTTTATCAATTTGCAGGGTTATGAAGACTGGCCTTAGTACAGTATGAATATTCATGTATTCAAAAGAGATATTTTAATAATCCTAGATTTCAATAGGAGTTTCACACAAGATAAGTAAAAGAACAAAAACAATATGAAGCGTCTCTTGTTCATGATCATTTTTAATTCAATTGTTGAATGATTTCACATGATATTAAATAAAAGTGCAGTATTGTTTACATGTATAAACAGTAATGTACATACAACATATAGCAAAGAAATACATGTCTTCATGAACTGACAAAGAAATGTATAAAGTTAATAGCACACTGGTTTGTTTATAACTGGAAAGATACACAAAGCTGTTTACAACATAAAATAATATGTTATTCATTGAGTTTTAAACAAAATTACATGTATTTATAAGCAACAATTATCTTATGCTCACAAGAAATACAGATATTTCTATGAGCTGTAATGTTATATTTTTATTCATTTAATCTCAAATAACTTTTCAATAAATGCAAAGATTCAAAACAAAACTAGCACATTTAAAAAACATCCTCATCTTCATCATTTTTGTTAATTATGTATCCAAATTGTTTTACTGTTATTACATGGGCAGTGAATAACTAGCTAGTAAATAAGGCAAATATCTCTTACATAAAATTGTAATAATATAATACAATAATTATAAGCTGCTTTTGTCATGCATTTACATTTTTACAATTTGTTCAAATATTTACAATGAATATTTACATGGAATCCGTCTGTTTTTTAGTTAAATTCATCTACCATTTGTTCATGATATTAGCACCATTTGTTCGGTATTTTTCATGTTTACCAGCACATCCTCTTAAAGATCTCTGTTTTGAACACAAACCCTAGCCACTTTACATGATTGCCTTTCAAATAAAAATTATAAACACATCAATATTAATCAAGATATTTCTCTTTAAACTTTCTGAAATTTGATAAGAAATTGAAGTAGGTGACGGTTGTTTGTAATTGTTGCAAGTTGGTCAAAAACAAGACTTGTTGCTGCAATGTTCTTACCTGAGATAAGCTCTATGATTGCTGACTAGTATTATTTGATATAATTGTTGAAACTAAGATTTATTTTGTAAAAAACAGAGTCCTATAGCAGGTTTGTAAAATATAAAAGGTATCACTGTTTTAATTTTTCTTTACCAAGATAGCATCCAGCTTTTCAGTTAGATATACCGTCAGAAATATAATGCCTTCAAAATGATGTAAAACATTTCTAAAAATATTAAAGAAAGCAATATTACCAACATTAGGAAGGGGCGAATATTTCAAAAATATCAGTTATATTATCCTGCAATTTTGTGCACAATACAGTGAGATTCATTTTGCTCGAATTTTTCAGCATGATGTTCCAACACTTGAAAATAAGAATAATCCAACCACACAAAAAATCCCTCAAATTTGTGGAATAGAAAAGGCTTCACCTTTATTTTTAATTTCATGCAAACATGTTGTAACATACACTTTTTCCTTTGTTTTCTAATTGTGTACAGGTCAAGCTTCGAGCAGTATCGGTCAAGCTTCAAGCAGTTCAGGTCCAGCATCAAGCAGTACCGGTCAGGATCTATAGACCCTAGTCTCATTGACCTGGTAAGTAACTACCTAAACTACTATCCAGTAGACCATGCATGTAGCTACTAACCATTCCTATTTTGGAGGAATGATACCTATGGCATAATGAAGAAGGCTAAAGATAGAGAGGGAAGGAGAATGATCTAAAGAGGGCTCTGGTGTGTAGACCTGCCCTTTGCAGACCACACAAGAGAGAGATTCCTATATTGTATTAGTAGCCTTCAAACTAATGTTATGAACCCTAGAATCTTCCTCCCTGAAAACCTAATTGTACAAAGTATACATACAAAGTAATAATAATAATAATAATAATAATAGTGTAAATTTATAGAGCACACACACCATCCAGGGACGCTCATGTCGCTAGCTCAGCAACAGTTCTCTTAAATGCATGGAGTTATACCATCAGAAAATCAAAACCAATTTTCACGAAAGAACAAGTAGACTGTATTCGTAACTTTGTATTGATATAGTCCCCGGTTTTCTGTGTAAGCCGAATTTTCGAAAGGAACATTTACCAAGCCTTACTACAGAGAGTGTTCAATTTATTGTCTCAATCCCATGAGACATGTTTCCTTTTATGAAATACATGTACTAGGAATCAGACCAGAAACTTGGTTGAATTGGTGAAGGTGGCCATTGCCGGGGCAAGAACTTTGGAACTTATGAAAAATTAGGCTATATTAATTTATTTTGCAATGTGAAATTTGTAAATCTGACCCACTCTCAAAAGTTTTGATTGGTCAAAGTAATCATAAGAAATTAATGTATATAGTGCTATACATACCAAAGGATTTAAACATATTTTGACTCCTTCATTTTCTCAATACACATATCAGAAACTTACTTTATTTTGTTCTTAAAAAGCACTTATTTCCACCACTTTTAAGCATGTGCACACTCTGCGAGAAATGTTGTTACATGTATACATTTATTATTTATTTTCATAAACAAACACTGTACATTACATCAATTGAGAATGTTTACATGTGTAGTACCTACTTTAATAACTGAAAATTGCACCAAACATATTCCCTGAACAAAAGCATTTATGTACAGTAATACCTTATACTAAAATACTATTTTCTATATCATCTGATCAGAGTAAGAGAGTATGTAAAAACCTCTGTTCAATGATGTAAGCTAGAACTTAAACCATTTAAAATAGATTGAGTGATCTACTTGCTTTCTAAATATGACATGAATCTATCTAAGACCAAATATCCTCAAACATTGGTCCTGATTGTTAACCAGCCTACTTCAGAAATCGTTTTATATAAAGCTTTTCAATATTATCATGTTACAATGTGAGTGAACATGTTAAAAACATTAAACAAAATACATGTAGATAACTTAGAAAAGAGTTTATACATCAAAGCAGCATGCAAAGTGCACTATACTAGAATATAATATAAAGTACATGTAGGTACAATTTTTATGATACACAATATACAAATTCATAAATCATTGATTGTTTGAAACCAAATGTACTTAAAGGGAAAGTCCACCCCAAAAATAAGTTTGTTTCGATAGAGGCAGAATAATAAGAAAATCAGGTGAGTGAAAGTTTGAGCAAATTCTGAATGAAAATAAGAAAGTTATGAATTATTGAAGTTGTGATCAATCAAATACAAATTGGCAACTCTGTGACTTATCATACAAGCTCTCCTTCATTTGCTTTGTGCATAATATTCCATAAAATCATGTTTTCTTCGTTATTGATGACGGAATATATATTTGTTCCTTGCAGGGGGAGTATAGAAACATATTTGCAATTATTATATTTAGGGTGCATGTATGGTTGAAATTTTTCTTGAGGGAAAATGAAAATTTTAGATTTTTTTGTTCTGAGCAAATGGAAGTTGAGCTCGCATGATACGTCATAGAGTTGCCAATTTGTGTTTGATTGATCACAACTTCAAAAATCCTAACTTCCTTATTTTTAATCGGAATTTGCTCAAACTTTCACTGACTTGTTTCTCTCATTTTTCTACTCCTATTAAAACTAACTTAATTTCAGGGTAGACTTCCCCTTTAATATCCTTTTGGTTCTCAAACAGTCCATTTAATTGCATTCATGTATATAACAAGACAAATAGTGAACATTTTCTATCTACACATTGTTTCAGCTCAGTGTATTGTAGCCTTTCCTTTCATCCTTGTAGCCTATCCTTTCATCCATGCTATCTGTTGATGTTGTAAAGACTTCTGAAGGTTCCATGAGGTAGGAATCATCAAGATACATCACATCTACATCATTATAGTCTGTAAAGGAGACCTGATCATCCTGCTTTAACTCAATAGTCCATAGTGGCATGATAGGCTTCTGAAGACTCTGTCTCTTCTTCATGAAGATGATTGTTGAGATGAGAGCTGTACATAGAAGAGCGCCCCCACCTGCCGCTACGTAGACATAGTAGTTCCTAAAGCGTTTGTTGCCGCTACCTGCCTTGGCTGGCTGTTCACCAGGAGATGCTGAGAGGGAGGAAGGAAGGAAAGGAGACAGAGGTGTAATGAGCATGGGAAGGGTGGAATAGAAAGTGAAATCCTACACCATCATGATAGCCAAAAGAATTGTCAAAGAGCCAAGATTTTAGGGTCTCTTCCCTTCCCTATGGTAGATTGGTTTCAATTTCTAAACATTTTCCTCTGGAATATAATATTTTTATTTTGTCATTGTCATGGTCACCATTTTCCCCCCTCTCATGAAAAAATAAAGACTTCTTAACAAACATTGATAAGATCTTTATCCTATGCCATTGGGAAGAGATCCTCTGTAGTTTCCAAACTCTTCATTTTTAAGTAGTGATCATTTCATGAATCATTAATCTATTGTCTATATGAATTCTATTGATACTGTACTTATCTTAGGGGAATGGGAGAGTTCGGTAGTCAATGGAATAAAACTCTATTATATTCATCTTTCTCTTTTCAGATGATGGTTTCGAACCATTTGATTAACCATGAAACTTAAATGAAGTCAACAGGTCAGAATTTTTGCTTCAAAAGAATGAAATAATCGTCACCAAATGACTGGTCATTCTTGTATGATTAAGCGTTGATGAATGATAAATTCGTTGAGAGATGTGTAAATGATTTCAAGCTTGAAATGGTCCTTTGCCTGGGGCACTGTAGTATATGAAACCAGCATGCATTCACAGACGGTATGACTGTAAGATTAGAACCATAGGATGCCTAAGGGCTGAGTTTCCTGCTCGAGTCTCAGAGACGTTTTACCTAAGGTGGGGTTTCCCAATATTACATTACTCATCTATGCATGTGTGTTACTTCATCTCAAGAACAATTGCCTCATCCATCAACCATTGTTAGATTATTACTACAGATAAAAATTCACTTGGACTTAAGAAAAATCTTCCCCGTCCCCCAATAAAAGTCTGTCATGAATCCTTACTCAGAATAAAAAGTAAATTTCCTTTTACATCCCAACTGAAACCAAAATAACCATCTGGAAAAAAACTAAAGTCATGCAAGGTTTAGTCATGATTACAAGCATTATCCCTGGAATCAATTGTATTACAATGTATTTCTTTTTTTGGTCCCTTTTATTAATTAATTATCTATTATTTCTTCTCTTATTTGATAGTATTTTAAGAATGTGTCAATGAATCATGTAATTATGCTACATAATTCTTCTCCTTAAGATTTGAGTATTTAAACCACTTATCTAATTACATGGGACGTTTATGGATTGGGGCCCTGTACATGAAACAATATGTACTCCTTTCCAAGTTCTAGTTTATTTATTCTGGTGAAAGTCAGTCAGAAAATAATTTTCCAGTCAAATTCCATTTCATTTCTATAAGTTAGTTTGCTGATTATGTGAGTGATTTAATCTTGATCTACTGTTTTTGATTCATTGTTTGTTTAAAACTATTTTCACCTGAGAGTTCAAACAGATTAAGTTAAAAACACAGAATAAAAATGATATATTTCAGAACTTTAGTATACAATTCTCCTCTTTTAAGGAAACATAGCCAAACACGCTAATGTGGAAATTGATGTCAGAGCAAAAATCGCTGAGAAAGTGCATCAAGTTTGGGAATGGGTGTGGAAGTATATTCCACAATCTACAAGAGTAACAAGTGCAACTCCTCCTCTCAGGTCCCATCCCCTCCAAAAACCCAAAATGGGAAAAGCATAAAATCCTGAGTCATTGTCTGTCTTTCATAAAGAAATTATTTTACATGGCAAGAATGCTTGGAAAAAAAGGCTCTAAAGCGGCCTTGATCTTTTCTTATCTTCACCTAAAAGAAATCGGCCAATGACACGGGGAGCAAGTGTTTTCTCAAACTCACACAAGTGTGACTCATTAAATGTTTACCCATCGTTATTTCTCTGACTCAACGGGGTCTGACTGGCAGGTTGAGAAACTGGTCTTATCATTTTACTTTCCATGCGTTTACATCACATGTGGTTTCCATGGTAACATTTTCCATTGAGAATCATTCATGAGAAGTTCCGACAATTTTGTTTTGTTTGTTTAAGGTATGCCTGTAGGGATGAGTAGGTGTATGCCTCACACTGACAATAACAACCCCAGGTCAGAAAGTTTTCTTCTCAGTATCATCAAGGTTTTGAACAACTTGGACTAGATCAAGATAGGTAGCATGGCATTCATGTGAAATAGACTTTCTATTTCCTACACTGGACATAGACAGCTTAATTTAACAGTTTTCTTTTTCAATTATTCCAAATTATTGAGAAGACATTGAGTGCTGCTGGCTTGAATTTCACCTTTTTTAACTGTAACTGCAAGTATTAAAATCTTCTGTACAGATATGTCCATTTTTGTTTTTGACTCTTAGTAATTGTCACTATAATCATAGCTTACTGAGGCAGATCAAATATTCCTCTTTTCTTATCTGATCATTTCTCATTGTTTTAAAAGATTGTTCACTCCACTGAATAACACTATACAGTCAAACGTGTCTACAGCGACCACCCAAGGGAAACACAAAAAGTGGTCTTTGTAGACAGGTTCCTTTAGTACATGTTTCAATGAGAAACCATTTTCAAGGGAAACAAAAAAATTGTTGTAGACAGGTGGTCTTTGTAGACAGGTGGTCACTAAAGCAGGTTTGACTGTACTGATAACCATGAACTTCTAACCCAGGTTTCACTTGCTTCTCATTTTGACCATTGACCTGTCATTCTCCATTCATTGGCCAGTGTTCCCTGGTGGTCTAAACACTTGTTAATACATCTCACAGGATGAGACACAGATCAGTATTCAGGTGGACTTGATGAAGGGTGAGCCACTAAGTCACCTGTTATAGACGGATACCTGTTTAATTGACGTGTCTGCTGTCAATTCATTCACCCCTCTCTGCCATGGTGATACTCAAGCGGGTATTACTCACACAGAGTCCCTCAGATCAACGGCTTTTCAATCATGTGGATTTTAAAGCTGAACCTTGAATTGTCACTGTGTTAAGCTTGCCTTAATGTCTTCTGCCAAATCGTCACATTGATAAAATAATTGACTAAGTAATTTTTGCTACTTCCGAGGGGAAAAATAGAGAAGTATTCAAGTTTTGTTTCATTTTCACTTGGTTTAGGCATTTCATATTTTGATAATTAAGCACAGTTTAAGATTAATAGTTGACCTAAGACGTTGATTTTTTCCATATAATCATTGGCCTTTTTCCAATCAAATTGTCAAGAATCTTCAAAAAGCCCTCCTATGCAAAAGGGGGAAATAGGGAGTATATTTTTGTCCACGATTGCTCACAAGAGATCTTGACAATTTTTTTCGCTGGAAGTGTGGAACTCCCTCTGCAGGACCCACGTTATGTAGGCTTGTCATTAAGTGTAAGGATATCTAGTAAGCATGAAATTTGAGGAATACCCCTGATATTCCCTGGCTGCTCTCTGACTCATTTCCTTATGACTCCCCCAGACCAGTCTCACATAACTTATTCATTTTACACGTCCTCTCCCTCTCTGCCCAGTTTCTGTGTCTTCTTACAACTTTTGAAGTCTTCAGAGTAGATTCCTTATCTTTAATTTATTCTCTTTTTGTAAACCTACAGATGTACAATTGATTGAACATGACACATTATTTCCCTTCCCGTTTTTAGCTCGTGTGGGCACTGCGTGAGTTTTTGTCCCCTTGTATACAATTTCAGATGATTATACATTTTTATTTTACCCTCACTTTTCTCTAGCTAAGGCAATGATATTGCCATTTAAAGTACGAGTTGGTTTTGTATCTATTCATAGGTTTGTAGCTATTTTAGGTACTTTTCAAGATGAGTTAGGAACCTGTTACCCCTATTTTAGATCATCCTTGGGGGGAGAGAGATTAAGGGTGATTTAAATCTGGTTTGGTCTAGAGTCTTCATGGACTTACTAGAGAGGTACATGCATGGTGTGTTGAAAGTATGTGTCACAGAATGCCTTATAAATATCAAACACTAAATTTGAAAACCTCACTTAGAGTATTAGGGCTTGTGGTGGTCGAAAAAGCTTGATAGTAAGAATTCACCTGTCTACCATAGAAACCCCCTCTTGCCCATAATTTTGATTGACATACATAATCTATCCATACTGATGGAAGTTTTCATATTTCCTTGTGTCAATTTTCTCTCTCACGAACCTTGCATTCTGAGTGTATGTTGTTCTTATGTTTCACTTTGGAGGTCACTGTTTACTCTGTGTTGTTGCAGTATAAAAGTCCTATCAGCAAATCCTGCATTATGCTCCTTAATTCTCCTTCAAAGGCCTAGCTACCTACAATGTCATAAGATGACGGCCTCTGAAGATCTTTTTCAACAATAATCAGAACAAAACTATCTCCATATCTCCATATCGAGATAAATATTTTTGGTTATTCTTAAGAAAACCTGTACCAGTGTCTCAGATGATTTGGGATCAATAATGAAACATTTCCAAACACTGTTATCTGTCAATGAAAGCCCCGCAGTGTTGAAAATAAGTATTCTAGCGAGATAAAGATTGCTCAGAAAGGTCTTTCTGAAGATGCTCCTGTGCTATGGAAGTTCTGGTATTTCTCCAAGTAGGTCTTTTAAAGCTTACTTTTCTGAGTTACCAGGTAACTCTGGATTGAACTTGACATCCAACTTGTGTGAGAAAAAGGCTTAACTTTTTTATGACTTGTGTACTTTCAAGGAGGTGAGATGGCTCAGTGGTAGAGCAGTAGACTTGTAACTGAAAGGATCCGGATTTGTATTTGCTATATAATGCCCTTTGGTAAGGCATTAATCCTCATTATCAAGTCCCTTGGAGAGAACCTAAGCCCTTGGTCCCCTGGTTGGCCTACTTACAAACATGCACATGCTTTCTTACCAGTCAGGAAAAGCGAACCATCAAACTATCAAAATCATACTAATTATTTTCATGCTCTTTACAAAATGTTTATTTCTTTGAGAGTATTTACTTATTTGTGTGCAGTTCCACTTGAAACTTGAACTGTGACATGATCTGCAATGCTGAGACTTTGAAGAACTGCTATAAGAACACTTAAGACACAGATCTGTAAACTTCTGACATTCTGTAGGTGTTTTTGTCATTGTTGAGTTACCAGCCATCTCGCAATCTGGACACTGTGTACATGTATTGTTGCTGTCCCTGTACAAGCCGCGACCACAGAGAGCAGCACATTTTGAAGCAAAGTTTGGTAAACTTGTACAAGTTCTGCACATCTCATTGGTTGTTCCTGTGTGAATTGAAAAGAAAAAATATAACATTGAAAATAAGCATCAGAAAACTGTATGTTACATGTTGTTGCTATTTTTGCTTTTGTTTTTTGAGAGGGCGAGAAAAAATAATTCACTACAAACTAAGTAACTTTTATCATAACAACTGTTCTGAAATGATATCTTTTTTTTTATATCTTTGTGTTTAAACCTTTGTTTATGTCTCATCAATTTGGCTCAATGCACCACAATCAATTCCTTCTTGATTTGAACAAAATTAATGTAATTAGAAACAGGGTGACAATTTTCACAAGATTTTTGTATCATTTCAATTCTAATCAAGCTGTCAAATGCAGAGGTTTTCATCACCTTTCGTAATTGATAATTGATCCTGTTATGACAATTTGGCGTCTGGATTGCCCGCTCAGAACTAGTGCGGTTAGCTTATCATCTCCTAAGATCAGAACACCTACAACGCCTAGCCACAAGACATATCCATAACACGTTCAGGTCAATAGCAGGATGTGAGGAGCACAGTCAGTTCTGAGTAATTAATTAACTTTAATTGGTAGCAGTGCTTATACTGAAACAAAACTTGAAGTTGAACTTTTCGTACAAAAACTATGATTTAGCAAATTCTGGCAGAAACATTTACTAATTAATAACTTTATTGCCACAGAAGATTTGTATTGTGACTCTCTAAATATGTATAACTATATTTGCATAGACATTTACAAATATTGTATACATCCCTTCTAAATGTTAAAAAATAACTTTTAGAGATTTATACTTACCATCAATATTCTTGCATTTATCAAGATATTCATAGCAGTCACATGATGTACATTGCTTTCCATCCCACCAATCAGATTTATCCAAACAGCTGTCACACTTAGCTCCGCCCACGCCTGGTTTACACGAACAGATGCCAGCACTGTCAAAGAAAATTGATGAAAAGAAAAAGCAAAATGGTTCAGACATTTTGGCTCGGGTATATACCTATATGGCTGGCAAGAGAAACCCTTGCAAGATTTTTTTAAAAGTAAGATTTAAAGGTCAGTGTTCTTCTAAACCACTTGAACCTATTGCTGCTTCTTTTGGGTAAGGCAAGTTTACAGCCTAGCCCTGAACTTGACTGTGGCTGATCTTAAATCAAGTATTACCTGGTTAAACCTCTTGCTAAGCCTCAGCATTAGGTTATAATCTCGGTAGAATACATGCCAGGCATGCAGTCCAAAGGTACATGTATTGTAATTATCTAGGGGAAATAAAGTGGATTGGAGTTGTTTTTTGGTGAGATCTTGTTAACTTTCATGAAAACAGTAATTGAATCTGGATATGGTATAGGAGAATGGTATTGCTAGGTTGATAATTCAAGTAGTATATGATGCCATATATTCAGAACTTATATGCATTTTATTAAGCATTTTATTAAGTATTTTGGATGAAGAGTTGAAGACAGGTGCAATATCATAAGATAAGCCCGTCAGAAGCTTATCATGATATCAATCACATGCAGCTTGTTACATTCTCTGAACAAATTATTTGAGAAACTTTTTCTTTGAATTGTGGATTGAGATTTGAACCATTATGACTAATTCTTCAATGTCTGGCTTTTCTGAGAGAAAACAATCAAATTGTGACTTGAGAATTCAGATTCGCACCATCTGTGACTAATAAATGACAGCTGATCGATGTTCCAAACACATTAAATGTTCAAACCTATCCAGCTTTTGTTGTTCTTGGGCATCATCCTATGCCAATTGCCATCTAAAGATCTTCATGACGCATATCCCTGCTTCTACTCAGAAAGAAGTCTCTTTCTAAAAAACAGTTGGCAAACATACATCTTTACAGATGTAGTGTGATGAGAATCTCTCAACAACTGTAAGATTACAATCTTAAACATATTGTCCAGCAAATCTTTCTTTCTTATGACTATAAATGTTTCATTGGATTGTAAAACTTCAGCTTCTTTCACACATTAGCTTCCAGATACATGTTATGGGCCATATGGTGGCGAGTTGATGCAGTACAATTAACCTGAAAGATGCTTATGTTTTTTGTTATTGATGGAAGCCATATATATTGGGAAAGACAAATTGAGTCCATGCTATAGTTACGTTTTGAAAGAGAAGAACAAAATTTTGCCAACATTCAGTTTAAGGGATTGGTATTAAAAATGACAGCATATGTTATAATATTAATCTTAGGTTTGGTTGTGGGTATTTCATATTTTCTATTTGTATTGAACATACAAATATGACGTAAATGCATAACATAATTTGGCGGGGTGACAGGGCTTATTGATAAGAACGTCAACGTATGAAACTGGAAGTTGCCAATTTTTTCAGTGAAGACAGGTATTTCACAACATCCTCTCGTCATCATTGACCACATTTCTTGTCTTGGTCCGGCATTGTCTTGAAGAAGGATGTTATCCCTCTTCCCTGCTGGTTCTCATTGAACAGCCCAAACCGCATCATTCTGACTGGATTTATGGATCTGCAGAGTCATGTTTTGGGTGTGTGTTTTTAATGAAGAGATGACCAATCATTTCTAGCTCATACCTGCGACTGAGGTATATACATGGGAGACTTGAAATGAATGTCTGCTTCTTTTGTCACAGAACTCAAACCTGGTTCTAAATGTTTCAAAAGTTGCTCGTTCTCCATGCGGGCTGCAGTAACTTACTGTCCCTTAAGTAAAGGAAATAATGTGATAAACCTGGGAATAAAACCAATTATTACAATCTGGATACACTCTAAATGCTGGCATTCAATCTTGTTGAGGTTTCTTACAGCATCCACCTTTCTATGAACCATTCCAATCTTTATGGCTAGATGTCTCTGATGGCCTCTGATGAATCATCGAGTCTGTTTCTTGTAGGGGTAGACCAACTATGCACTCAGCATGGTCATGTGGGTGTGATCAGGTGACACATCACATGACCTCATATACCACACGTCTGGGTATTGACAGTTGACTACTGGGAAGCATAACAGGTGAATTGTGTACATGATCAACCAATCAGATGACTTGTTATGAAAAAAGAAGAAAGGTTAACATGACATGACTGTGGTCAACCACAGACATCACTGAAAAGTGGGGTTTTTAGCAAAAGTATTAATCAACAGAGGGGCCTACACATGAACATCATCCAGTCAAATGCTTTGGGAGAGGTCATGTGAAGACAGTTGCCATGGAAGTTGATGATGCATCAAACCACAAAGATGTCCATAAAGTAGGTTGAGGCAAATGGCCAGGAGGGGGAATGATGCTAAGATCACCTGGCCCAAGACGAAGACAATGAGCTCAAGACTTGCAGGCTTCTACCAGCTCGGTCATTGGCATCCCACCATCATTCATCATCATCATTAAACATTGATTGCTCTTCAGAACAATTCCTACCAATTGTATAACTGACAAATAAGGAAACCTTACTATCTATTGAATTCTGTGCATAAACCTACGAAATCTTGTTTTACCTCTGAATGCCTTTTTTAATTTCCAATTGATAAATTGATACATTCTGTCCAACAAGGAAAATGCAGAAGTTTCTTGGAGGACCAGGAGAAGGAATAGTTTAGTAGGACAAGGGGCAAAACTTCCTTTGCCCAGGGATATTGAGGGCTGCTGAACAGTCATCATTATCATAAATGGATTATTAGAGGTTTTTTATTGAATGATTAACCATCAAACTGAATTTACTATTCCTCATTCTCTGATTTGATATTTACACTGGCTATCTGCCACATGCATCACCTGAAGCATGCAGAAATTCATGTATGACAATGCAGAATTATTCTCCAGTTTTGAAATGTGAAATTTGAGAGACATTGACATTCATATGTAGACCACACAAGAAGGATCATTGTTAAAGAGAGCATGTTGGTTCATTTTATTAAGAACTGTTGTAGAATCATCATTTATCAAAGTTTGGTCACCTCTGGGATTTGCACCTATTAAACTTGTAACAGACAAGATTGATTCATTTCTTTTGATGCAATGTGAGATATCCCTCTCATACCACAATTAAAACATGGATGTGGTTTGGAAATGTTGTTGTTGATGAAATGTACAATAAGAAGAGTAATCAAAGAACATATATATTCAGAAGAATTGATACAAATTTGACCCTCCTGCTCTCCATCATTCATCTAAACTTGGTCAGGTAAGGGTTTGGCACCTACTGACTGGTAACAGACGAGACTGATCCATTTCTACTGATGCAGACTGAGATATCTCTCTCATACCACAATGAAAACATGGATGTGGTCACCAAGGAGTTTCATTTCACAAGATGTCACTCAAGACTTCCTACATGTTCACTCTGATCTCTTATGACTAACCTGAATGAGGTGTACTATGAAAGATTCTTGCCTACAACATGCCTTGAGAGCCAACACTTGAACAACTGAATAGAAAAGTCTTTGATCATTGATTCTTGCTTTTAATCATTTTGTTTTTTGGGCGATTTCTGTGCATGTCATAATAAAGAACAATTTTCGACTCTGAACATCATGGCCAAGTCAGAAGAACAATCTACTTTTCCACCAGGGCACTTTCTCCGTATTCTCTTGCCTCCTACTCTACATTTTTTGTTTGGAGTTAATTGCACCTTATACCCCTGTCCAAATGAGTTATCTGTTTTCATGAACTAATTATATCTTCAGGAATCGATCCTGTGTAACTGCAAAGTCTTCTCTGTTCTCATGGGCTTAAAACTGCAAGCTCATGACAGGCCTAGCTGTCCAATTAATAATTCAAGAGTTATTCCTGTCTGAAGATCATCTAGAATTTACAGGGCTCTTGACTGATGATTCATAGCTAATCTGAACTCAGGGAATCCCCTTCCATACCCGACCACATATGTCTCACATCACACAGTCACACCTAGGCTGGCGAACCACAGGTGGTATCGTGTGAAACACTGGTCATGTCTGAACTACCTGTTGAAATATTAGATTGTGGTCTGTGGTGAGGTCACAAGTCTTCTTCAATATTAAGTTTGATGTCAGATTTCTTGGATATTGCATGTTTTAATTGTATTCATGGGTGTGTCCCGAGTTTTACCCTCTGATGAAAGCTATAATCCAAGATAAGTTTTGATTTATATGAAAACAATATGTGTCATATTTCAATATATTTAATTTCATTATCATACCTTATCTGTGCCTCAAACTGACATATACTGAAAAGAATTGGAACCTAATACCTAATACGTCACACTTTTCAGAGTCAAATGTAAAGTCAGGAGTTGAATAAAATATAGGAATGTCATCAGTGTATTCTGTCTATATTCTAACATTGAAATTGATACGTTCACCTATTTGAGGGATAAAATGACTATTCAGGTTTTTTACTTTTTATGTAATTTAAAAGTTATTAATCTCATTAACTACAAGTAATGAGTCATTGGGAACTCAAATCTAATTTCTTTTAACAAGTTTAAGAACCCCTAAAAACCCACATAGAAAATACAAGAGCACCTGTAAAAGAATCTTGTTTGATTGTTGTAATCCATATAAGCTTTGTCACAAAATCTTTCTTTTGTATATTTGGTTGAATTGGTCATCTTTAAAGCATATGCCACCTGCTCTTATTAAAGTGTTTGCTGCCCACTGGTTGACCAAGAATAGGTCATCTACCGCTTGAGCCCCTCCATGGCACCAGCAACCTGTCTCTATCGTTATGGCGACATACACACTTCAGAAACCTGTCTCTGTCGTTATGGAGACATACACACTTCCTGATCTTGGTCCAACAAGGAAATTACCTTAAACTTTCTGCCAGATTTCCTGGTGTTTTGTGACTGCTTTCTCTGAATCAGCTGGGTGGTTTTAGTTAAATTGGTTAACGAGTTTGTTGTTCACTTAGATCTTGACATTGTAGGTGCCGTGTATAATCAAAGAGTTGACCTCTCAAATGATGCACTTCTCATATTCATAGAAATGACGTACAATCTTCACCCAGGCTTATCATTAGATTAACCATCATTTCTGGTACACCTTTCCTAAATTGAAAAACTAACAAAATACCGCTGGGACGAAGCTGATAAAGGTATTTTGACTAATCCTGATTAACATGAAGAGTCTGTTTCTTGACCTCATAGGATTAAATTGAAACAAAAATGAATTGAGCTAAATTGATCATTGATTTACAATATAATGATGTCATTGCTCCTTTTTTGTAGGGAGTATTTAAAATAATAGCGATAGCTTGATTTTAAATCATTCATAAAGTGCTAATTCATTAATGAGATACTGCAGAAGCATCCTAGGGCTATGATTTTTTTGCTTTACTTCGTATGAGCTAAAAGTGAAGGAAAAAATGGAAATCTTTGGTATGCTGTAGATGATCACTACACATCACTTCTGACAGTTCGTGTCAGAAGATAAATGTGTAAAATTCTTTATTTGCTCCATCCTTTATTCTTTATTTTACAAGTTTCATTTATTTTTCCATTTATTTTATTTATTTTTGTTGGGGTATACAAACCTATCACATTCTTGGCTTGTTGAACCATCTGGATTGCACAGACATGGTTGACATTTGTAGGTGACTTCTCCATAATGGTTATAACATGGACACTGGATGGATGTGCGGTTACATGATGTGTAGTTGAATGTGTCGGAGCCGCATGGGCAACCTGTCAAAGAGAGCAGAACGAAAAGAAAAGAAAAGAAAGAAAAACATTAAGTGAAGGTCTTTTCACTGGAGATGATTATTTCAATAATATGCATTTTAGCAAATGTTCACAGTGAGAAATATTGAGATATAGAAACATGAAAAAGAAAATACTAGTACTGTTATCTATGCAGACAATTTTTTAATTTGTATTTGCATTTTATCACAGTGAAACATTTATAGCAGTAGAATTTTCAATAAACACAAATATGTACTTTAATAAAAGCCATGAGACTCATATTGATAAAATTATTATGTATAATGATAAATTCATGTTATATGAATGGGTATGCCTTTCATACATACATTGTACACTGCACGGTTTGTTATTTTCAATGATATTTTAAACTTTGAATGGTAAAGCACATGGATGTCTATCTTCCATTCCACAAGCTTTCCTGTCATCAACATTTAAAATATAATTGAATTGAGAGGAGAAGTAGAAGACATATCTTGAGTGTAATCCAACAGAATGCGTCATTAAAGATGAAGATGGATCGATGGTCCCTGAAAGAATATGACAGGAATCTTACAAAGATACCGGCAAACATGAATTATCATCAAGTAGATTAGAGGCAGCGCAGACCATCAGTAATGGAACCAAGCAGGAAACATCTTCATACCATCCCCCTCCCCCTTTCATCCTAGCATCCAGCAAATTGCATTGTTATGAGCAGATAGATTCAGTTTCATTACTAGAGAGCAACCAATAACTTCCATATTTCTCAAAGCATTCAGCATTCATTCCCAGTAATGAATCCCCCTGTCTCTGTAATTCAAGTTCTTCTCTGGATTCTTGTTTCATGGCTTTGTCTATTTTCTTCTGACTCTCATCATCTTCTCAAGAATTCATTCCCATTTTAGGCTTCTTGACTTTGTCATGTCCAACCCTGCATATTCAATTTGTTTATTCACTTACTGCACATCTTCATTCACTACAAGTATACAAAGCTATACCGCATTGATAAAAGCAAGGAGCTTCAGCCCTATAGCTCCATGATCAACGTATTGTTTGTACATTTTTTTCTCCTTTGACTTGTTACAAAAGGATTAGTCATTCTAAACATTCCCTACTTTTATGTCATTTCCTGCTGCAAATTTCTAATAAAGTTTCACTGATTTGAAAAATATTGTCTTTTCTCTCTCTCTCTCTCCTTTATCCCATTTTCTTCCATCCTTTTCTCATCTTTCTCTCTTTTCTTTTCCTCTTTTCTGTCTTCCTTCTCATCTTTTTCTTTAACCTTTCTTTGAACCTTCTTGTTTTCTCAATCTTTTCTCAGTTTCCTTTACACTCGGTCTCTTCATCTTTTAATCTCTCTATCTCTCTCTCTCTCTTTCGCTCATCCATGCTTCTTTTTCTCCTCCTCATTTTCTCCATGCTAATTTCTACCATTTAATATCTCTCTCTCTCTCTCTCTCAATTTTACTTCTTTTACTCATCATTACTAATTTGTACCTTTTAATCTCTCTCTCTCTCCTCTTCCCTCCCTTTCTCTTACTCTTCTCCATTTCTAAATCTCTCATCCATCTATCTTTCTCTCTCTCTCTTCTCTCCTCTTTCTCTCTTAACTCCTCTTCTCCATTTCTAAATCTCTCATCCATCTATCTCTCTATCTCCCCTTCCCTGGTTTCACCACATCCCATCCATCTGAGAGATGGGATTACATCTGAAGAAACAAGATTTAAGACATGGCATGAATACCTACTCTACCAGCATATCCAGCATCGGATGCACATTCATTTCAATTCAATGTGCACTTTGTCTGGATAAAGAGTATGAATTCAGACATGCTGGCACTTAAAGAGATCTGGTAACTTTGTCTTAGATCCTGTAAAAAAAAATCCTTGATTTAGCTCATGCTGCAATGATAATTATACAACTTTTGGTCAGCCAGGAATCCCATGACTTTTACAAGTCGATCGCCTATCTGATTATCAAGATATTTATGATTGAAAATCAAAATCAAATTTTGCGTTTGCCAAACAGTTTTCATAACACTACAGTCTATCGGGGAAAACGAGTATGGTAAAACCGGTCACTCAAAGGTTTTTACTTTTTTGAGGCACTTCTTGATCATTTTGAAGGGCTTCAATATAACACCATATCACAGACACTGATAACACATAGGGCCGTGCATCTCAGATTTAACATTGTTAAAACGATCCCTTTAATATCTAGATCTTGCTACTCTGTAGAGTCATAAGAGTTACGATCGATCGAGGAGGCTTGCGTGGCACTTAGAAATGCTCTGGAAGCTAGGCCCTGGTGAATCAAATACCTTCAATAGTTCAAGGTCTGAGACAAATTTGATACTTAGCAACTTATTATGCAAAAGACTGAAAAGAGAAATAGCATATCTGTAAATCGATATTCATTTTGCATTGAAATTCTTACATTCATGTTTACTTTTTCAAAATAGAGTCATGCCAGAATCAAGTGATTTGCCTCCAATAATTTGTTGAGTGTTAGCCTATATACCAATCAAATACACATTATGGAACATTTATCTACAATGTATCTCAGTATATTTCTCTCTGTATCTCCCATGTTCTCTCTGACTCTTCCCACATTTATAAGTATATCATGACCATATGTTCCAGTTCAATTTCTTTCCCAGTCCTCAATGACCATAACCTTATTAATGGTCAAATTGCCAGACAAGTAAACTAATCCCAATGGTCTTCTAAATGACCACATGGGATTACATATTAATGTGAATGGCACCATCATTGCTATATGTTTGTGGTTTTGAACCTGTTCTATCTGATTCAGTCCATACCTTAATTAAAGTGTTGGCTAATTGACAAAATTCGTGACCACAAATGCAGAACCTGAAGAAAAAAAATGGCCAAGAAAGCCTGGCATTTGTGTAGCTTAAATGTGCAGAACGACTCTGCCATTGCATGAGTTTGAACATATTCAAACCTGTATTGAGTAAGTAACGAGAGACAAAAGACGAAAACTAAATTGCATTAATGCATACTAGATACATGCTAATGATGGTCATGAAAATGCAGAACATCTCTTATGCCTTCCTCTCTAGTAGTGCTGTAACATCACGGATATCTCCAATTCCGTTTAACCGCCTGTCAAAACCGGACGGTTTTCGGTTAAACGATTTATTAAAAAAAAAAAAAAAAAAAAAAAAAAAAAAAAAAAATCATTTTTTTTTTTTTTTTTTTTTTCCGGCCGTGTGAAAAAGCAGGCAGGAAGGTGATTTAACTGAAGGCACCGATTTGTGCTTGTGAACTAGTCACAAATAATAGTAACAATGTCGTTTTAGAATAATGTGTAAGACTGTAAGATCATTAAAGTAAATTAAAAACAGTAGAGGACCTAGGATAGAACCTTGTGGTACACCATGTGTTAAACTTGGATGAATATATATTGAGATCTATTACAAAGATTACTTTCAAACCAAGATGACAGACAAATTGGAGTGTTGTTCTAGTTTCCAAGTGGTAAGTCATCACACCGATTACTGAGCTGGGAGACATTGCCAGGCGTAGTGCCAGGTGGAGGGGCATAAATCGAAACTTAAAAAAAAAAAAAAAAAAAAAAAAAAAAAAAAAAAAAAAATTAAAAAAAAAAAAAAAATTATTAAAAAAAAAAAAAAAAAAAAAAACAAGGGAAACGCTCTCGGCGGTCTCGCCTGCATAACGCAATTCAATATGATAAACCAGAACGTCAATGACGTAGCGCTCATCCGCATCTCGCAACAACAAATATCCTAAATTTAATGTGGTACACTTTTGAACTGGTCAAAAAATAAAAATTTGATGCCCTGGAAGGGACATAATTTCATTTCATTTGCATAAAGTACCATAAATAATCAATGGAGCAAAATCTCACAATTCTGTGTAGAAGTTTAGTGTTCCAAATTTAGCTCTACCAGATAAGACAAACCAAATCAAAATCGGTCAACAAATGAGGGAGAATAAGCAATTTTTGTTATTTTTGGAATAAATTTGCATAAATTACCAATATTAATTAATGGAGAACAATTTCAAAATTTAGTGTAGAAGTTTAGTGTACCAAAGTTAGCTCTACCAGATAAAGCAAACCAAATCCAAATCGGTCGAGAAATGAAGGAGAAGAAGCATTTTTTGTGATTTCGAATAAATTTGCATAAATTAGCATAGATAATGAATTTCACGATTCTGTGTAGAAGTTTTAAACCCCCCTCCTAGCCCTATCATATGAAACAATCAGAATCAAAATCGGTTGAAAAATAACGAAGAAGAATCATTTTGAAAATCTTGATGTTGATGCCACAACAAAGTCCAAGTTTATTGACCTTAAATGACATTTGACCTTAACTTAGTGACCTGAAATTCTACTCACATGATTGGGGAGACTTGATAACCCTATAGTCCAAGTTTCATTGACTAAGGACTTATACTTTCAAAATTATATCAAAAATTAAAAAACTTAACCTTAGGTTAAGTTTTCGATGATGATGCTACAACATAGTCCAAGTCTGTTGACCTGAAATGACCTTTGACCTTGACTTTGTGATCTGAAATTCTACTCACATGATTGGGGATACTTGATTACCCTATAGTCAAAGTTTCATTGACTAAGAACCTATACTTTAAAAATTATATCAAAAATTCAAAAACTTAACCTTAGGTTAAGTTTTTGATGTTGACGCCGTCGCCGTCGCCGTCGCCGTCGCCGTCGCCGTCGCCGCCGCCGTCACCGGAAAAGCGGCGCCTATGTCTCGCTTTTTGCTACGCAGGCGAGACAAAAACGGGAAAACGAAACCGTCCAATTGAAAACGGAATCCGCCATGGGCGGTCGGATACCGGACGGTTAAACGTTTGACTACAGCACTACTCTCTAGGACAAATGGGAAATCTTTAATGGAATTGGTTGTCATGTTCTGTTAAAGCCAAGAAGTGATACGTTGGGGGTGGATGTTAATAAGCTGTTTTGTAATGGGCAACGTGTACTGATTGTAATAGAGAGAAACATATACCCGTTACAATACTTTAACATCTTTATTTATACATGTATCTTGTTCTAACAAGTGAAGTGTAGCACCTCCTTCTCATATCATCAACCCCAAAACACTTTTTTTCTCATTTCTATGTAGAAAGTTAAATGCAGTACCTCTCTGAACTAGATGGAACATTACTTGTGCAACAATATTTGTAACATAATTAATGATATTTAGCAGAAATATAATTAAATTATTTTCTTTTGTTTCAACCCATTGATTTTTGTGCAGTTATCTACTCAACCGGTTCTGAATGTTAATGCCACTGAAGATGCCTCCTAAGTATCGTCGTAAGACATACACCAAGATAGAGAAACAGATCCTAATGGAGCTCATAGAACCGAACCTCCCAGCCATCACGGACAAACGTCGCGAGGGTAAGGTTCTCTTCAATCACGACCGCGCCTGGCGTGAGATCGCGCTCCTCTTCAATGCTCATCGCGACACGGTGACGGTGAGGACCAGTACGGATCTGAGAGGGGCATGGAAGTACGTGACCCAGGTACAGTTCCCTAAGCTACCCCCCATGCAGATTGTGATGGAGTATCTCAATGGCAGGAAGAGACTGGTCAACTATAGAGCTCTCTTACTCGATGCTTCTCACTGGAAAATGGAGGATGGTGCTGGTAAGTTATATCTGCTCTCCCTTTTCTATGGAACCTTGAGGAACAATGTTATCCATCATGTTACCAATCACCAAAAATATTTTGTTCTGCATGTGAGTATGTTGTAATACGATATTCAAAATATGAGCTTGAAACATCACTTCTGTAAAGAGATTTCGCAACTTTAAATACAGTCTCACTCAACGCTCAAAATACACGGGGGCGGTGGGCGATTCGCCCCCGTGAGCCCCACAATCGCCCCCGTCAGATGGTTCACGAGGGCGATTGCAAAATTAAAAATCGCCCCCGTGGAATTATAAAATAAAGATTATCTTTTCTGATATAACTTTAACACAATATTGAGTATCAATTTTCAAACCTTAAACCAATAAAATGGAACTAATTAGATGGCGCTTTCTCTCCCATCTCTATGAGTATTACCGATACAAACAACAGAGCTCGCAGTGCAGCTGTAGTGCGGCCGTCAGCAATGGCTATACTGCGCCGGTAGTACCGGTGTGCACGCTGACGCCCAATATATGCTGGAGCTGGAGACGATCGCGCAAGGACTGAAACATGGAGAAATTTTTCGTTGTGAAAAGTGTGAATCCTCTGAAATCTGGTTATTCTAAAAGATCAGCAAATAATGTAACTTGACCAGTAAATCAATATTGAGAAGAAGATCACCAAAGATGTTGCAGGGGCGGATTTAGGCGGTTTAGGGGTTTAACCACCCCCCCCCCCCCCCTCCCCCTTGGGCTGCCGAGTGAAAATGTGTTGTGCATAGAAAAATGCTATCATGTGTCATTGTGTCCAGACCTACACAGTATTAGTAGATGTCAGTAGATGCCAGGAAAACATCACTAACGGGGGTTCAAAATAGCGCCAAAAAATCGCCTCGCCGCTTTGCGGCTCGTCGACGATGCTCCGCATGTTAGTAGATGCCAGGAAAACATCACTAACGGGGATTCAAAATAGCGCCAAAAAATCGCCTCGCCGCTTTGCGGCTCGTCGACGATGCTCCGCATGTTAGTAGATGCCAGGAACACATCAATTACGGGAGTTCAAAATAGCAACAACAAAAATCGCCTCGCCGCTACGCGGCTCGTGGACGATGCTCCACATCGTATCTGGGTTACCCCCCCCCCCCCCCCATCCTTAGCAAAAAGCTAGATCTGCCCCTGTGTTTTGGAAGGATATGGTAAAAACCAAAAGTAAAGAAAGAATGTAAATAAGGTTGCTCCAAATAATGAGGAGGACATTATGTGCAGAGCGGGAAGAAATGGAGAGAATGTCATTACGGAGATAAAAGTCAATAACAGCTATGTAACAAGTACATTTCTAAGAGGGAAAATGCCGACTTAAATAAATGATAATGATAAAATACCAAGGAATTTAGGAGTTTCATGGGTACCAATTCAATGAAAATTTGTATTAAAAAAAGAGCCCCCGTCGGTACTAAAAGAGCCCCCGTGAGAGAGCTCACGGGGGCTCTTTTTTTTTGGAAGAGCCCCCGTGGACAAAAAATTAATTTGAGCCTTGGTCTCACTTAACATAAAAGTGCACCCATACATCCTGGCATAAAATAAGTCCAACTTGGGTTATGTTATTCTTTATGTTATTCTTTATGTTCTTCATACTCCTTTAGTCCATAAATTGCTTGGTGAAGTTTTTAAGGTTGATTTTACACATTTTAGCTGTAAATGTAAACAAATTATTTTTTATGGTGATTGGTACTCCTGTCTTGTCATTATGTTGCATGAATTTCATATTAAATTATCTCATGGTTTTAAATGTCATTATACCTAAAACTGCTCTTTGCTATTGCTAATTCCTGATTGCTATTAAACACTTGCAACAAAATAAAAACAATTTGCACTAAAATGTAACATTTTCCCACCTAGCTGTTGATGTTTTCCATTTTCAATATGATTTTGATAAGTTTTTTCTACATGCATGAATTCACCCTCCCCTAACATTGACTATCCTGAATTCAGGTATGTCTATGCCTATCACAGACCTGCCACCAGTGAAGGTTCGCGGCAAACGAACCGTCTACAAGCTCTATGAGAAGGAGCTGCTCCTGGAGCTGGTCACCAACCGTTGGTCTGATGTCATGTTGACTGGTCCTGAACTGACCTGTGAGCTACGTAGAGACGGAGCATGGCAAGAGATACATGACAACTATAATGAGGACCCTAGAGCCGTTACTCAAAGGTAAAAACCATGACTTTCTAGAGATTTTCCAAGATTCACTGATTTAAATTACCAGCCTCGATTCTAGTTTCTTTAATCCTTTAATGCACTAGGTATCTTTCTGAATACTTCTTGGTTTACTGAAAATTTATTAACTGTCACGTATTTCAACAGTAGAACAAAATACATGTACTGCCTATTTGACAAAATTGTTCCATCCTCCATCAAACTTATTACAAAGCTTTTTTAGATAGAAATTTTTCTAATTACCATTGCATTTACACTAAAACAAAGATTTCAGGCACTGACCTGTGAAGTACGTAAGGATGGAGCATGGCAAGAGATACATGACAACTATAAAGAGGACCCTAGAGCCGTTACTCAAAGGTAAAATAAAATTACTTTTAATTCTAGAGATCTTCCAAGATTCACTGATTTAAATATACCAGCCTCCATTTTAGTTTCTTTCATCCTTTAATGCAAAAGGTTTCTTCCCAAATACTTCTTGGTGTTCTGAAAATTTATTAACTTTCACTTATTAGTAGAGCAGTAGAACAAAATACATGTAATGCCTGTTTGACAAAATTGTTCCATCCTCCATCAAACTTATAGCATAGCTTTTTAGATATACAGTATTTTGTTTAAACTTTCACCAAAAAGAAATCTAACTACCATTACATTTACACTAAAGTTTGATCCTAATTCCTACTTTTCATCTCTAGAACCATCCGAGATCTGCGCTACTGCTGGAAGTACATGGTACAGCAGGGCCGTCAGGTAGAAGCCAAATTGAAAGCCCAGCAGCCTGGAGATCCTCCATTCATTCCTTCTCCTACTGAGGCTGTATACCTGAGGGTTCGTCAATTGGAGCTGGACTGTGGCAGTCGCTTCCTACCCTTCTACCTGCAGAGCCCTCCTCATCAGCCAGATGACATGTCACCAAACCCTGCAGAGAGTCCATCTGGACAGCAAGGTCAACCCCTGCAGAGCCCACAGCCAGGACAGGGCCGAGGAAGAGGGCGCCGTGGGAATGCAGCGAGGCAGGAGGCTTCAAGGCAGGAGGCAGCTAGACAAGAGCAGGCCAGACAGGAAGCAAGACAGGCTGCACAACAGGCTGTTCAGATGCATCAGGATGCTGCTGCAGCGGCTGCTGCACAACAACAGCAGCAACAACAGCAGCAGCAACAACAGCAGCAACAACAGCAGCAACAACAACAACAGCAGCAGCAACAGCAACAACAACAACAGCAGCAGCAGCAGCAGCAGCCACAACAAGCACAGCATCAGGAAACCACAGCTCTCCAGCACCAAGGAACTACCGGACACCAGTCTCCTGTGCTCTCTCAACACCAACCCACAGTGGTGTCCCAGCTTCAAGAACAGACTTCACAGCAGCCGCATCCAGCCCTGGCTCTCCTCCATCAAAGCCAGGCAGCACAGCCAGGACTTCATCATGGATCGTCACCACACCAGGTTCCTGTGTCGCATCAGGGACAGAGTCCTCAAGCTCTGCAGCATTCTGGACCCCTACAGGTTCCTCTGGCTCATCAAGGTCTGGCTCTTATCCAAGGCCTTGCCTTGCATCAGGCTACTAGACCCCAGCACACTGGATCCTAAAGCCTTAACTTCTCTTCCTTCTCTTCTCCCTTCCTCGCTATCCTTCTCTCCTGCTCAAGTTTTGCTGTAGTGCTACAGTAAGTATCAAAACATTCTCTCTTCCCCTTCTCCAATTTGTTTTTTAAGTTCAAGATCTTGTTAAGATCATTGGTTATCAAATGATCCCACTTCCCTTCATGTTTATCCTCCAAACAAATGTTTTCTTGCCTTTTTTCTTGCTTTTCATTTGTATTACTCTGACTGAAATTCCGACAATGATAAATTAAGATGATTCCGATAACTGTATTGAGTGTTATGATTTCCATAAATCTCTTTTTATTGTCCTGATCTTCTCATTCAAAAAAAGATTATCACCATCTTTTGGTATTATTTACCTTTTACACTGCCCCCTTAACGAAATATCATTGACCTCCTTTCAGTAAGTATTGATAATACTATTTCTTTACTGCTAATTTGTGATCTTTTAAGTTTTAGAATTAGAAACCATGACAAAAACAATTGATACGTTATTGTGTAAAGATGATGACGATGTCATAATGAAGTAAGAATCAGCAAGGGAACTCTTCGTGATGATTTTTTTCCTTCTAAATGTAAATGATCTGTATATATTTATCTGGTGCTTTCTAGTTGCTGTACATACATGCCGAGAAGCCAGTAGTAAGCGTAAGATTGTAAACTGCTGTAAACTGATTATGACAAAATAAAAGTTGAAATCCTACTCAATGTTATTACATGAATGTCTTTTAAGTTTTTGTATGTTTTGTAGCAATGTGTAGTTCACTTAAGTGCCAAAAAGTTTCTGGCATATTCCATTTATGTCAATCATCTCATTTTAGAGATATCATGTTATCAATCTATAACCCATTGACAACCATGTATCATGATTGTAGGTAGTTTAGTAAGTTCTTAATTTTGTACCATACTTATGTTTGTATCAAAAGAATAATGCAACTCCATATTAATCAAAAGCTTGTAACTTCTTTCGTCATTGCATTGTACATGTCAAAGCATTTGCCATTTTGATGTCAAGAATAATGAACATCTCATTCTAAATTTGTCTACTTTATAAAACACAAGGTTATGTTGTTATGATAATCAGTGGTGGTAGAAACTGAACTGTACTTAAGGTGTATTTTTAAATGTATGTTATGCAGCATAGATTGAGTTCTATAATGTCTTTTCTGCAGTTGTGGAGAATATTCCATTACAAGTATTGGTAGTTAATAATGTAAAGTTTGCATCAAGAAAATGGACATGGTGTTAGTTGAGTATTAATTAAAGAGATCATTGATTCATATCTCTCTGTTTAACATTAATATTGTTTTAATTAGGATTCAGTTAAAGGGCTATGTGTTGATGAAAGAGAATGTACATATACAAATAACCAACCAAAGAACATGCTACATCACTCTTTGTCTCCTTGATGATCTATATACCTGGGGCCCGTTTCATAAAGCTTTTTATCTATAACAAATGCTACATTTCTATGACAAATTTGCTCTCAGCCAATCAGATGCCAGGATTCAGTAGCTTATAACAGTAGCTTATAACTTGTTATTGGTATTGAGTTTTATGAAACATGGCCCTGGACAAAACTCCTTTCCCGTCTGTCTGTCTGAATGGTTGTCTTTGGTACACTGTAGCAAGGACTCGTATAATGTGTAGGAAGTTTGTAGGCTGTGAAGGAGCTTTTGCTTTGGCTCTCCAGGGGGTGTTTCACAAAGACTATGTAAAGATCGGCATAAGTTGGGCTCGAACTATGGCAGGCTATTCATGACACTGGTTGCTCTCACCATTGGTCTCTCAGGGGACGTCACAAATATACAGAACTCACCTCTTTTTTTTTTCTTTTTTTTTATTGAAGGAAAAAGCATTATCTATTTCCCCCTCTAATTTCACATCTGGTTTAAGACTTTTTAAGGGCATAAATCGCCTACCATAACTAAAGTCCATCTTAAGTTGATCTTAGTCTTTGTGAAACACTCCCCTGGTGATTGAAGGCATGCTACACATCACAGCAAGAAGGGATGTTAACCCTTTGGGCTCTAAACAGACAACATCTAAAATCATTGTATTCATATTCATGTACAACACATACAGTAAGCAGATAGACATTTTGTCATATAGTTGACAACTTTAAGAATAGATGCATAAAAATTTCTGACAATACAGAAAATAAAACATTATTTAAGGAAAAAACACTTCAAGTATTTCACCAGGCTCTATTACGTATGATTTTGAACGTTGTAAATCACACCTTTGATAGTCAAATAATTTTAAATGTACCATATGTATAGCATCACCTTGTTCACCTCAGTCCCACTCATACATCTATGTGTCCCACATTTCATTTGACACTAGCCAAGTATTAGTAGAGTCCAAAGATTACATTTGATTACATTTTTACATTATTAATCCATATAATGTCTTCAAAGGATGTCTTGACTGTGACAGTTTACCTAATAAATGTGTTTCTTAATAGTTCTGTTTATTCCTAAAAACATTTTAGTATGTTGACTTTAATGTCCATTTGATCATGTTTTCATGTGAACATGTGTAGAAATTCAATGTTCTGGATTTGTGAAGTTAGGACAGAGTTAATTATTGTTGAAGAGTTCTGAAAGTTGTTCTTCTTGTGAACCATTTAAACATTTTAAAGTTCTTATATTTCTTGACTGTTAAAAATAATTTGTAACTTTCCTGTAGGTTTCATGTACATGTATGCAGTAAAGTGCATACTGCATACAAACAGCATGTGGACACATGTAAAAGTATTAGGGAAGTAATAAAATGTAAACAGAAAAAAAACCTTCTTGACTGGAATGTGTAGTTATTGGTATTCTTGTTACAAATTCAGGAAACAGGTTGAGTATTTATGTGAATGAAATTTAGAAAAAAATGAACATAATCAATAGTTCTTGGAAATACATGGAATCATATCTACCCTTCCACATCGTAGGCATTTTACATTACATCCATGAAAACTTCAAAAGATTGTAGCAATAATTGAATATTCATTTATTTTTAGTCCAAACTCAACAAGTGCGTTTACATAAAGCATCATTTTTAATAATTTTTGTTTTCCTAAAGAGGACAAGACCTCAAAAGTATATTTTCAGTTTTTATGGTCAAGCACTTACTGATGATGTGGGGCTCCTTTAACCCTGCCCTCTCACTTCGGTTTGAAAGAGACCTCTTGCTTTAACCTCAAACCTTATTTGCTCAAGAAATTGGTATATTCTGTTGAACCTCATGTAGTCCTAACACAGTTAACTCATGAATAAGGTTTGATGCATACGGCTGACATGCAGTAATGAAAGCAAATTTTTGAGATGGTTTACGTCCCGCCCCTCTTTCCTTAATTCCCTAGCCAGCTGTACGAGAGAGTACGTTGACATACACAGTTACCATGGTATATGAGATCCCGTCATAACAAAGCCTTGGTACGTGGCAAACATCTGTCAACATTAAACTCAACATACTTACATTTAAAGGAAGCATTTACATTCACAGTTTTATTAATTATCTTCCTCCTAAATTTCATTCACATACATGTACATGTAAATACAGAAATAAAAAATGTAAATCTGCAAACCATTGGCTTTCTATGATAATGCAACAACATGTACTTCCTGTAGAATTGCATGTACACGTAGATTGTATATCAAGACTTTAAGGCCTTAATGCTGTTTCTTTCATTTGAAGCCGTAAAAGTAATGCACAACTGATTTTGAGATATATCTAAATCATGCTCATATGGCATTGCTGCATGCTCAGTTCATCTCTCTCATCTTTCAATTTTAAACATCAGAGTTATTCCCACAGAAATATTCATATGAAGCATATTAAAAGCAATGGATATGAGTGAATCTAAAATACTGGCAAGGAATTTCAAAGAGAGAAAGAAAAAAAATAGTGGGATAAAAACAGTGACTAAGCCAATAAACAATTGAATAAACTATACAAGAGAGGAGATACAGAAAGAGAGTGAGAGAAATAGACAATGAGAGAGAGAGAGAGAGCAAGAATAAGAGAGGTCAGGAAAGAGAGAGAGAGAGAGAGAAAGAATGAAAGAGAGTAAGAAAGAGAGAGGTGTAAAGCAAGGAAATAAATACAGGAAATATTTCTTGTTCAAATTCTGTAAATCAGTTAAAGAGAGGAGAGAGAGAGAGAGCTTTACACTAAAAGAGATCAACAGCAGAGATGGATAATGACACACACAATGTACATGCAACAACATGAAAATGAAAGATTAGAGGAACTTGGAATTTGTGTTATTCATAATAAATGAAACCAAACACATAGTGGAAATAAAAAAAACCATTGCAAAATATAAAGAATACACCTTTTGTATCAATATCCTGCTTAGATGGAAACAGTGTCTCATATTTACAAGCCACAAACTATTCAGTGAACAAAGTCCAAAATAAGATGAAAAAAATTCTTGCTTTATGACCATGTTGACATGCAGTTTATTCAGGTAGACATTTCGTCCTTGTTTTCACAAAGTGAAGGTAGTGGGGAAAATCGTAATGCAAAGTGAATGCAATTTTGTTCACTACCGTCACTTCGTGAAAACAGCGACGATTTATAGAAATTACTTTTGTACAATATAGCATGCAATGTGTGTAAATAGGAACGATTGTTCACACAGTTGTATTTGCACAATAGTCATTTCAATTCAATTGAAGTTAACAAACTGGCACAGGGTTCGCATATTTTGATTCAGCTTGTATGCTTTAATTGATTTTGACTTAATCTGGCAATTACAGACCGTACTTGTGAAATAATGTCTGCATGTGAGTAAACAACTTTGTGAACTTTGTCTGTCCAAACAGCTGTAAAAATGAAAGATCGATAGTATAACAATACTATAGAGGACTATAAACATCTATAAACTGTGATCATGTATAATTGTCAATTATAAACTTTATGTTACCCCTCAGCTGTTGTCTTCAATGTAAGATTTCTCTGGTTATTTGTAAGATTTCTCTGGTTAAATGTAAGATTTCTCTGGTTATATGTAAGATTTCTCTGGTTAAATGTAAGATTTCTCTGGTTATATGTAAGATTTCTCTGGTTATATGTAAGATTTCTCTGGTTATATGTAAGATTTCTCTGGTTATATGTAAGATTTCTCTGGTTATATATAAGATTTCTCTGGTTATATGGAAGATTTCTCTGGTTATATGGAAGATTTCTCTGGTTATATGGAAGATTTCTCTGGTTATATGTAAGATTTCTCTGGTTATATATAAGATTTCTCTGGTTATATGGAAGATTTCTCTGGTTATATGGAAGATTTCTCTGGTTATATGGAAGATTTCTCTGGTTATATGTAAGATTTCTCTGGTTGATTTCTCTGGTTATATGTAAGATTTCTCTGGTTATATGGAAGATTTCTCTGGTTATATGTAAGATTTCTCTGGTTATATGTAAGATTTCTCTGGTTATATGTAAGATTTCTCTGGTTATATGTAAGATTTCTCTGGTTAAATGGAAGTTTCCTCTTTATCTCCAACGTTTGCCCTGGAATTTTTGTCTTGCTATATTTTCTGCCGCAATTCATAATTATTTCATTTCCCCTCTCTCTTCCTTATCTTTTATTTCCATTTCTTTATTTCTTCTATCATCTCTGTTTTCTATTCTCTCACTCTCTCTATTTTCTTCTCTCACTCTAGCTTCTCCATGTTTTCTTTTTCTTTCTCTCTTGCTCTCTATTATTTCTCTCTCTCTCTCTATCCATTGATCTCTATTTCTCTCTTCCTCTCTCTATCTACCAATCCTCCATTTTTCTTCAAGATGTATTGAAGGACAAAAATGACTTTCCCCTGACCTTTTTCCCTTTAAGCTTGACTCTCAAACCCTTCTTGTCTTCATCCACCTTGAGATCAATCTAGCAGCAAGCGCCAACGCATCTTGCTCGATTGTTACCATCTCGTGCCGTTCATTTGTCCAACTTATTGCCAATTTACAGAGCAAATGAACTGTGTCACAGACAAGCGAGCTATTGAGCAATGCAGAATAAGTACGTTGAACCAAGTCCAATCTACACATGCCATGCACATATATCTCCCTATAGACTCTTATCCATTTCCCCTTCTGGTGACATGCCCTACCGGCAACCTGCTCTCTGATAAATAATTTCTTTTAAAGACAGCTTTGAAATCAAATCTGTCTCTCTCTTGCTCTCAATTTTATGTTTGAACTTGAATTTGAAAATGAGTTTTCTATTTTTAAATACTGTGACAACCTGATCAGAACTACAGGCCTAAACTTTGTTAAGTTATCATGATGCTGCAGATATAACCAAGTATAAAACATTGTTTATTTTAGTAGTACTATAATTAGACCAAACATTTTTTTTACTACAGATTTAGGATACCAAAATGGTTGGTCCAATCCAAAGAGATAATCACAAAAATTAGAGACATTATCACAAGAATCAAGAATATCACAAAACTGAGCACTGCACTTTTTAGCCAAAATTAATTACAGTTTCTCAGCCATGCTCGGGTGACAGGAGGAGCCCTACATATCTGATGAATTGGAATAAAAACAAGGATGACCTTGTGACTTGGGTCAATAACAATAGGCGTGTCTGCACTATCTCGAGATTGCCAAATATCCAGCTATTTGAACTATCCCGATCGCAAACTATCCAGCTAATTTGCGTCTTCATTAGAACGAAGTAGCAAATTAGCTGGATAGTTGGTCGGGATAATATCCCAAGATATCTCGGTCTAGTTTGCGGTTTTCCGTGCTTACTCGAGGTCAGTGGTTGTACTAGCGCGCTGAGCGGTATAGATCGCATGTGCGAACCGGAAATCGTTGTGCAT